ACAAGTTAATGTTAACAGCGAACAAACCGTCCGTTAACCGAAAATTGAACGGAACTTGGACGGAGGGACAACATCAATACATTTTCCAATAGTAGGGGGAGGACATATGCAGTTAATTCATCGTAGAGGGACGACATGAGGCGACTTGAAAGTAGAAGGTTTAAATTGAATTATTTTTGATAGTATAGGGACGACAGTTGGCATTAACCCCTCTTTAGATCTCTTTCTTCCAATTTTAGATGGATTTTGTTCCCTATGCAGTACTTCCCTCGATTCTTTTCTCAAAGGGAAGGATCTGCAGCCATGGTTTCCAAGCGAAGCCGCAGAAAGCCCAAACTCGAGCGACGCAATGCAGCCGAACACATCGAGTATGAAGCGGCGTTCTCTTCTTCTTCCCTCAATGGTTCTTCTACGTCGTCGTCGTCCTTTGTCATCACGCGATCACACGATTTGTCCGACAAAACCAGCTTCCGTATACAAGGTACTGACGGTGAGTTCCTCAGAATTTTTCAGAGCCTTGGTCTTAGCGGCCCTGAGGATTTTGCGGTCCCTGCAGCCGTCTGGGAGGCCCGCAAAACTCGCTCTTCTTCGGATCTTCTGCCGAGGTCTCGGTTGAACCGATTGGATAGTCCGGACGAGGATGAGCAGAAAGAGAAAGGTGAAACTGATGGAGTAGTAGCTGAATTGTGTGACAGAGTGGTAGATCGTGTTAGAATCGTTGACGGTGCTGGGTTGACTCGGAACGATTCGTCTGCGTTCTATGAGTTCGATTTTCGAGAGTGCTTCATTCTTCCTAGAACCAGAATTGGGGAAGGTAGCCGGTCAAAGTCTGTTTCGAATGCTGCTGCTGGTGCTGGTGGTGGATGTGGGGGAAACGGAATAAAGGGGTTAAGGCCTCCCTTGCTTAAACCGCCACCAGCAATGAGGCTGCTAGTGATCGATGGGACATGCTCGACGTGGGACCTATTTAGAGATTTTGCACCTCAGGGTGATCGATTAGTTTTGGATCCTATAAGTTCTGATGATGAGGAAGATGAAGGAGGATGTGAAACAGAGGAAGCGGTTGTCGAAGAAATTTGCTTGAAGATAGTGGAAGAGGAGACTGCAGTGTCATCTGAAACCTGTTCCTTTTATACTGCAAATGATGATGATTTTTGCTTGAAGGCAGTGGAAGAGGAGACTG